CGCTGGCCCTTTAAGAGGACCGGACCATTCACCATCATGGGGGGGGGGGCAGCTGTTGCTATGGAAACCCAGCCCCATGCAGGGAGCTGCTCCAGTGGATCAGGACGGTGTGATGGATTAGAAAAGGCACCGGAGGGGGGGGGTCTCTCTCTAACCACAACCCTGAGCGGAAACAGCGTCATCTGTTCCTCCAAAATAAAAGCCTCAGTGGTTCCAAAAGGTCCAGTTTATAATCCAACATTTCTTCCCGTTAATCTCAGTTTTGCTCAAACTGAGCTGATAAACAAACAAACAGCGACCTGATTCCAGCCAATCACATCCAGCCTTTCTGCCTGCGTCACAAGCAGCCTCCCTGCTCTCCGTCCGAACCCGCAGCAGCAGAGCCGGACCTTCCCGGAGGTTCGGAGGCGCAGGAGGTGAAGAGCAGAGCGGAAGCTGTCAGCAGGCTGGAGCGACGCACGGAGCGCTGCTGCAGCATCCTTTGTTTCCCGGATCTGGAGTCCAGGTAGGCCACGGAACCGGCCCGGTTCTGGTCCGATCCGCGCCTCTAGCTGCGGCTCCAGCGGGTCGGCTCGGTTCGGGTCTTTAGTTCGGCGGGCGGTCATTGGGTTCGGCAGCATCCGGCGGCGGTTCGGGTCCGCCGCTGTGGAACCAGCTCTGGGTCTGCAGAGTAGAACCAGGCACGGTGCATGCTGGGCCGGACCGGACCGGACCGGACCGAGCCGGACCGGGCGGCTCTCTCGGTGGGGGTCGAGCATTGCAACGCATCAGCAGCGCGCGCACGCGCATTGAGCAGCGGCTGGTGCGCGTGCTGACACACCCGTCTGCTGTTCTGGGCTGGGGGGGGGGGCTGAACTCGGTCCAAACGGGACAGAACATCCATGGGTCCTCCGCCTGAACCAGAACCCAGAACAGTTCCTGCAGAACCAGAACCAGGAACTGGACCCGCTTTTCATTTCAACCAATCAGAGGCCGGTTCTGGACCACAGAGCTTTGATAAAGGACAGAAAAAAAGAACAGTTCTATAGAAATACAGAATTAGAGCAGGTCTGCCCAGCTGGGCCTCAGATGCAGGTTTGGATCCTGGAGACCCAGAGAGGGAGCAGTGAGTTCTGACCTAAGGTCCATCAGAACCAGAGGATGGAGGTTCTTATGGGAGACTGGTCTGACCTCACTTCACCAGTTCACTACTTCACCAGTTCACCAGTTGGTCAAAGGTCAAGGCGCTGTGGGACAAACTGTCAGGCAGAGCGGCTGCTTCTGGTGGAACCTGATGGTCCTTCAGCTTCTTAGAGACGTTGGGTCTGTTTAGCAGCTCGAAGCAGACGGTGAACAGACTGAAGGACTGGTTCTACCTCCATCAGCCAGTAAAGCGAACCCAGAGCTCACCAGTAAAACCAGTGGTTCTCTAGAACGGACATTAGATCATCGGATGTTTCATGGTTCTGACGCTCGGAGCAGAGAAGCAGCGTTTTGGTTTGGCTGAACGATCTTCCCAGTATAACCAGTCCAACGGGACGTTTTCCCAGTTAGACCTCCTCCCAGAAGGAGGCTCAGGGGAACGCGGGTCGATGACGGGCGTCCGCGGTCTGGACCTGGCGTCCATGTTTGTTCCGGTGGGATTAGATCAGGAGCTCCTCCATCAGAGGAACACCTTTAAAGTCTTTCCCTTTGATGCCGTCTGTTGCTAAGCAACCGGACCTCCTGCCAGCAGCAGCTTTGGACAAGGTGAAAAGCTGACCTTTGACCTTAAGGCTTTTGAAGGTCAGAAACCTTTGGTCAGATGAAGAACAGCTGATTTCAGTTCAGGTGACTTGTGAACTTTTCCAGAAGTTCTGCTTAGAACCTTTAGATCGCTTTAGATCCTCTTAGTTAAAACTGATCCTAAGATTTGGATCTGCAGCCAGTCACCCAATTATGGATTTACTGTCTTTAGTTTATTTTCTTTATTTACTGTCTTTATTTCTTTATCGTGGTCAGTCCATTTCCCCAACATCGGCCCTCCCCCACCTATTGCCCCCTCCAGCATTTTGATACCAGCGTGTCTATAAAGTGATTGCATACCTGATTGCATGTGAGAGAGTGTTTGGTACATTTAAAATTTATTCTTTTTATCCAATCTTAACCAGGTCACTTTCTAGATCCAGATCAACCAGAACTAGAAACCTCCAGCAGAACCAGGCTCAGTGTGAGCGGCCGTCTGCTGAGGCCCACTGG